CAGAGCTCTATTTTGTTCCATTCTGTTCTTTTCTAGTCTATTTTGTCCAGACCTCAGGAGCACCAAGTTGGCAGTGCTGCAATTTATCTTTCTGTTTTCTTTCACCAAAGTAGCTCAGTAGCTCTGATCACTGATTTACAGAAAGGCCAACTTTTCAACGTGTGATATGCCACAGTATCGACTTACTGTAAATACTTCCCCTCAGACTGCATTTGTGTTGATGTTCCAATCTAGAGCTACATTTTCAAATAAAAAAGAACCAAGAAAATTGACATAATTACAATCAAACTTTTCGCTTGTGTTACAAGCAAAGTACAGACTCAAAAATAGCTCAGACTGTTTTTATGTTGATTTTGAAATCTAGCACTATATTTTTAAATCCAAATTAAAGAACCAAGTCATTGACTTGTTCTGGCCTGATGACGAGGTGTGTAGGAGGAAGAACCAGGCATGAGACAGGTGTGAGGGAGGTTCCTTCAGGTATGTACCTACCTGGGGAGAATCATTATACAGAGGCAAAACAGCTAGCCTGGCCACAAGGGGAGGAAGAAAACAACTTTCGTTGATGTACATGCATAAATATGCATGTACAAGTGCATGTACAAGTCATAGGAGCTGTCAGTAAAAGACACATGGAGTAAAGTTGCTGACAACTTGCAGTATTGGTGGCTCCGTGGTACAGTTCCTAACCAACTGCATGTGACTAACTTACTTAGTAGAGACACAAAACAGACAGTCTGTCAGCAAGGAATACCACATCAGTGTCCAATCCAAGTATGTGTACATGCAGGCTAGTACATGTTCATGTAAGAGCAGGGCAAGTAAAATTGCTGACAACTTGTAATAGTAGCTAGAACCCTCAGCTATTTCCTGTCTGCTGTCTGTGACTCTAAAGTCAGACACTGGGGAAATCACCTTGTAGTACTATGTGTCCAAGTACATGTACAAGTCCAAGTTCATGTAGGTTACTAGTAATAGAGTGTCATGATCATGATCAGTACATCCTGGCTACTGAATGCATGGGAGGACTGGTAGAACAAGTCAGCTGGCTTGATAAGAGCTTGTTACACTTTACTCTGTAGGTAAATTCTAATTAATGGGTGATGAATCTTTCCACACAAATGGTTCTACTAACATTATTTAAGCTTACAAAGTCTACATACACATAGCTATAGCATAATAGGAAATTCTTTGTGTTGGTAAAATCATTGAACTTTTTAAATTTTTCCATCACAAAGTTTAGATCTACATGTAGACTTAAAGGGACAGTGACTTGGAAATTGGGGTGGCAGTAAGTCTTGTATCGAAAATATCAGTTCAACAGAGTTTCTGGTAAACGGCCTGGTAAACGCTATAATTGTCCTTTTTACTTAGCATCTATCATTTAGCTAGATTTGGTCTCTTGGTGCTCAGTTTCACTTGCAAGTTCAAGGTCTAAATCCTAGGAAACACCTTCTGTATCCCCCCATGTCCCTGGAGTGTTCTATCTCCAGGTCTGCCCACGCAGTTTTACAAGGCTGTACCAGGGAGTGGGAGGTACAAAATCCCCTTTTGCTGCAACACAGGAAGGTCTGCTGCCCACAGGCACCGTATAGATGCTACTTCTGTGGTCTTATGGTGCAGTCCCAAGTTTAAATCTAGCCTTCAGGCTATGATATACAGTACTGGTATTTCCCCAGAACTATGGTAGAGTGGAACTCGTTGCCACCAAGCACAGTTGGGGCATCATCACTAGAAAGCTTTAAGCAACTCCTGCAATCAAATGTGCAAAGACTGAGTGTAACAAGTGGTTCGGTGTGATATACAATGTGCTGCCACCGCGCCACGTGCCTGCGACGCTGGTGTGTTACACCGAAGGATGGTTTAACTAATACCGGCTATACAGATACAGATACCTTGGCACACAAAGTATAAAATATGCATATTCTGTGTCAGATTTAAGTTTCCCTCCAAAATACCATGCCAACCATGTAGATGACTTACCTTGGCCATATTCCAACTTACTATTGTTACGGTTCAGCCATTATATTCCATTCTGCTGAAGAACCAATTTCATCTGTCAATACCAAAGCTTTTTGTCTGGTTTAGATTGGTACAATATCAGGTTTGCTAAAAATAAATAAGCCATCCATCACTTCCAAATTTAAAATCAATACACTGTCACAGATGATAAGAGGAAAGGCAATAAAGTTTGGTTAGTATGGCATGTCGGCAGAACGTACTGTTCCTGTGTGAAAGCCTGATTTTTTATGGTTTTCATTAAATGTTTGCATCAGAATTTTGCCTGTTGCAGATATATTTTCCTACATAACTTTTGGAAACTGTAGACAGGTTTTAATTTTAATTTGTGGTTATAAAATAATTCCATAGTACAGTACTATAAGTCTTACATTAGACTGTGTCACTGGTTTTCATCATTTAAGACAACCGCCCACAAGTTTAGGGGTGATCTTGAAGTTGGCCCTTTACATGGTACTTGGCTTTTTGTCAAGTAGGCGTCTCACACAGAAACAAGAGTTGGCAGTTGTTTGTTATTTCAGAGGAGAGTGCAAAGTAGCCTTGAGCTCTCTTGATGAAGTTTACTGTCAGAACATTACAATGTCATGTACAGTGCGACAGCTCCCCCTAGTGAGCAGTAAGGGAACAGCAGTGTGAGCCTTTGCCTTTGAGAAATGACCTAAAAAGAACCAGTACAATAATGAAGAATACTTCACTGTGTGAAGTACATGTAATAAAAAAGAAAGAAAAACACTTAACCCCCTGCTTACCAATATATTTGCCTCTGTCTGTCCTGTACAGGGAGTACACAGGAGCCAGTTTTTGGATGAAGAGCCATCTTATAGTCTCTTGCAAACCTTAAGAAATAATATTCATTGAACAAAACATGATATTTATCATTTTTCTTGTCTATATTTTACAGGGAGTACACAGGAGCCTATCAGCTCTACAACAGTTGTACTAGCGGGCTACCCAGCAGTCCTGTCTTGCGGGTACAGCTCAGAACAGCCCCCTAGTGGTCAGTGAGGAAACTGCAGTGTTGGTCTTGCCTTTCCATGGGTCTCTTATGCTTATCATTTTTCTTCTTTCTCCTGTACAGGAAGCCGATCAGCTCTACCACAGTTGTGCTGGTGGCACTGGGTTACCCAGCTGTGCTATCCTGTGGGTATAGCTCAGATCAGCCACAAATAAACTCAAGAAGAACCAGTACGATAACAATTTTTCTTGTCTGTATTTTACAGGGAGTACACAGGAGCCGATCAGCTCTACCACAGTTGTCCTAGCGGGCTACCCAGCAGTCCTGTCTTGCGGGTACAGCTCATAACAGCCCCCTAGTGGGCAGTGAGGGAACTGCAGTGTTGGTCTTGCCTTTCCATGGGTCTCTTATGCTTATCATTTTTCTTCTTTCTCCTGTACAGGAAGCCGATCAGCTCTACCACAGTTGTGCTGGTGGCACTGGGTTACCCAGCTGTGCTATCCTGTGGGTATAGCTCAGATCAGCCACAAATAAACTCAAGAAGAACCAGTATATAACAATTTTTCTTGTCTGTCCTGTACAGGGAGTACACAGGAGCCGATCAGCTCGACCACAGTTGTCCTAGCGGGCTACCCAGCTGTGCTATCCTGTGGGTACAGCTCAGAGCAGCCGCCTGACTCTGTGGACTGGTACCGTCTAGAGGGGCTCGATGCTGAGCAGGAGAGAACTCACCTTCTGTATCACGATAGCAACAGTGGAACGTTCGCATTCGGCAACTACTCAGGTAAGTACACCTTACAACCATCTTACAACCATCTTACAACCATCATACAATCTTACAACCATTTTGCAAACATCTTAAGTTACGAAGGGCTGGATCAATGCAGAGCAGGAGAGAACACATCTTCTGTATCATGATAGCAACAGTGGAACGTTCGCTTTTTGCAATTACTCAGGTCATTTCCTTTGTTCTCAGATATTTTAAGGCAAAAAAATAGGATGCGGAGATCATAAAAATAAAAGCTAGTGCACTAAGACATCTCCCCATGCAGGCTTTCTTTTATGATGTATTTCTAGCAAATTTAATTAACTGTTAATGACCCGCCCCGAGGTGAATATGGTGTGATAAAGCCTTGTCAGTTGCTATAACCACCAAATAAAGCCACTGAGTGAGCGCAGTGAACGAGATGGCTTTATGAGGTTTTTTATTTCATATTACAGACAGAGCAGAAGTAGTAGAACCTGCCAACCTGAAACTACAGCCTGTGTACATGTCAGATAATGGAGACTATGAGTGTGAGGTCCCTACAACGGCAGATTACGATACGTTCCTGTCCAAAGTACGGCTGCAGGTTTTGGAAGCGCCGGACGGACCCAGGATTACTGGTTACTCACCTCCACTGTTTGCAGGGCAGACGCTGCATCTACGGTGAGGTTAACATGTTACTTCAATAATATTGTGTTTAAGATATACCAATACATGTATGTCTACATGACTCAGCATCAGTGTGCAAGCATGTCTAACCCTCGGTTACGGGGAACAGTCAACAGATGATACACCGAGTGAGTGAGTGAGTGAGTGAGTGAGTGAGTGAGTGAGTGAGTGAGTGAGTGAGTGAGTGAGTGAGCGAGTGAGTGAGGCTGCAGGTTTTGGAAGCCCCAGATGAACCCAGGATTACTGGATACTCACCTCCACTCTTTTCCGGGCAGACGCTGCATCCACGGTGAGGCAAAAATGTTACTACTTCTGTGTAAAGTCTTGTAATATGTCTATGTAGTGTATGTACTGTATTCTGGTTCACTTGAGGTCCAGACCAATCCACTGGTCAGATTGCCCAAAGGCCGGAAAGAGATTTTTGGTTATTACTGAGCGCTGGAAATTAGGGTGGTCAAAAGGTGGACAACAGTAGACATTCCCAGTTCCAGATAAAAGGCAGCAGATCCTATCTGAACCTTCTGACTTCTCAAAGAATGTATCTAAACATGCAGTATATAATCATATACTATGTTTTTGGACTCATCTAAACTTCTGCATATCTGTTACCAGCTGATATGTTACGATAAAAAGGATAAAGACAGTTGGGCTAAGTGTTTGTATTTTTGGGGGGCGAAGTCCAGAATTAAAATGTTTTTCTGTAACTAATATATTGAAGCTTGTTGTACATATTAAACACTATTGAAAGATGTGTGATGTTTCCAATTTCCTGTTGCAGATGTGAGTCGCAGATCGTGGGTGACGTCCGGCCCACCCTGGTGTGGTACAACGGCTCGCGGGAGCTGTCGCGCATCGACCCCTCCGTCTGGCAGCCCGAGACGGAGACCGCCGTGCTGAACTACGTTCTGGACGTGTCCAAGTACGACAACGCGAAGGCCTACAGGTGTCAGGCGCTGTACCGGGGACCTGTGGGAGTCAGGGAGCAGAAAATCACACTTGACATCAGATGTGAGTCTGAGTAGAACAGAACAGAACAAAATAGAACAGAATAGAACAGAATGGAACAAGCTAAAACAAAACAAAACAGAACAAAACAAAATAGAACAGGACAAAACAAAATACAACAGAACAGAACATAATAGAACAGAACGAAACAAAATAGAACAGAACAAAATAGAACAGAATAGAACAGAATGGAACAAGCTAAAACAAAACAAAACAGAACAAAACAAAATAGAACAGGACAAAACAAAATACAACAGAACAGAACATAATAGAACAGAACGAAACAAAATAGAACAGAACAAAATAGAACAGAGCGGAACAAAATTGACTAGAACGTCACAGAACTAGATAGAACAGAATAAAATAGTTTACAACTGAACAGAACAAAATAGACTAGAGTATTAGTCACTAAGTCTTGATGTGTTTTTTATTATGGGTTCACCACACCACGAAGTGGTGGTGAACCCATATTGCTTTTTCTGATGTTTCTTCTCCTCCTTCTCCTTCTTCTCCTGCCATTTTTAAATGGATTCAGCTTCTTCATTTTAGGGCCTAAGGTCCTGAAATTTGGTATGGAGGTACAGTGGGCAAATACCCCTAGGCGTTTTTTAAATTATTGTGATACAGGCTTTTAGAATGGTTTTATTTGAGTTTTTTGGCTGTGTTATAGCAAATGTATTACTGTGTTAGTGTGCCTTGTTTACCACGTTTGGGCATGAATCATCACAATGGAATGCAGGGCATCAACCAATAGGCATGCAGCTTTCCTCTATTCTTCTTGCTGATTGGCTGTTGGGATTTAACTTGATTAACAGACTGCACAGAGCATTTCCACCTGCACAGAGCATTTCTTGCTGATTGGCTGTTGGGATTTAACTTGATTAACACCTGCACAGAGCATTTCCATACTGACAGTATGTCTGTATTCAAGTGTTTTGGTAGGGATTTCAAGCTTTCCTGCTCCAGCATTGGAATGCGGGGCATGGACGTTTTTTTATTATTTTGAAAATCAACAGTTTGCATTATGCAATTAAAAATCCTAACCAATAAAGTAGGGAATAGCTATCCAACTGTTGTTTTAGTTGTATTTTACTTCATATTATAGTTATATCAATGTAAATCATTGTTTTCCCTTGTGTTTCTCATTCTTTCCCTGCCATGTCGTAAAATGTGGTGAACCCATCGCTGTATTTGCTCCAAAGCAAATATTGGCCTTTCTAGTTTTGTATGCTGTATTTTTGCAGATGCCCCCACCACGGATATTCAGACACCCTTGGGCAAAGTAGTACGGGAGGGAGATGACGTGCTACTGAGGTGTTCTGTAGACATGTCACTCACTCACTCACTCACTATCCATGTGTACGGGACCTTTTTCTTTAAATTTATAATTGAGTATATTTATCATTGCTGTATTTTTGCAGATGCCCCCACCACGGATATTGAGACCCGCCTTGGGCAAAGTTGTACGGGAGGGAGATGACGTGCTACTGAGGTGTTCTGTAGACATATACGGGACATTTATCTTTAAATTTATGATTGAGTATATGTATCATTGCTGTATTTTTGCAGATGCCCCCACCACGGATATTGAGACCCCTTTGGGCAAAGTAGTGCGGGAGGGGGATGACGTACTACTGAGGTGTGCGGTGGACAGCAACCCTCCGTCTACAGTCAGCTGGGACAGACTGGAGGGAGACATGCCCGCTAACTACAAGTATGCCAGCCTCTCTTTCTTACAAAATCAGTATTAAGTTAAACCTTATGTTAAAAAGAGTGAAATTTCTGGTCATTGGTTTCATTTTCCACTCTGCCCACAAAAGTGAGCCTTTCCTGGTCTTGATTTTTTTAAGCAACCTGCAGAAAGGCCACCTGTTCAAGGGTACCATTTCTTTGGCAGGCTTGACGGACAGATTTTTCTTATGAACCTTTGTTGTACCCCAGTCTCAATCACTGACGAAAAGTAGTGGATGCTACAGCAGGGCTCGAAATTCATTTTTGGGAATTTGTCCACAGGTGCACCCAACCTAAAAAGTTGGGTGCACAAAATTTGTGTGCACCATATAAGATAAAATGACTTACTGATAATCAAACACGACTAAAAAATTGAACATGACTATGACAATGATTTTATTGTTTTTCTCACACTTAGAATTAAGAATATACTCCTGTACATTAACATCTTTACATATTGGGTGCACAGCTCCAAATTTGGGTGCACTAAGGTGCACATGCACCCAGTATTTCCAGCCCTGTACAGTAACTTTAAACATCCAGCAGTTTAATAAATGTTGCTTGAGTAACGATTTTTGAACCTTCATAAATGCATTATTGTCCTCCTTGCCACAGCCTGTTCGAAGATGGTCGCCTGTTAAGAATAGTTAAAATTACAAGGAACTTCCACGGGACGTACCAGTGCAAGGCAGAGAACGACCTCGGTGTCAGCACAACTTCTGTCGAGCTGAACATCCTATGTAAGTCTGCTGCATCTTTGTTGCCTTTAAAATCCTGCTTAAGAACTATCTTTGCAATGTATTTGTTTGCTGTTTCACCACCAAAGGAGTTTATGATTTATTATGTGTATGTGTGGGACATGTCTGTGGTGTTGTGTGGCATAGTGAATAGAGCGTTCGGCGCTCAAACAAACCCGGGTCGGAGCACGGGCATGTCCGAACATGCACACCAACGTTGTGCCCTTGGGAAAGGCACTTAACACGTATCCCCCCTCTCCAACTCTCCAACGGCAGTTGTCTTCAGCTGGCGGACGAGAGCAGCGCCAGGCGGGCTGGCGTGGTCAAGGCGGACCTTGAGCGTAACCAAGTCATCCGGCAGCTCGCTGCAAGCATCCCAAACGGAACCAGCACGTCTCCCTTGATATTGTGCCGCTGGAGATGACTTCATCCCCTTTACCCACACTGCTTAGCAATGTCATAAATGCACACAGACACATAAAAAAATCATCAACTAAGTTTGGTGGTGAAACAGCAAACAGATACATGCATTATTATATTAGACTAGCTCTATTCAAATATCTATCATGCCATAGCTCAAAGCTTTGTTTCTCCTCTTTTTCCAGATGCCCCTTCAATAGCCAGACAAGTCTTGGACACAGCTGAGGCTCTGGTCGGAGAAAACTTCACCCGCGCTTGCATAACCGACGGCAACCCGCCCCCCACAGTGCGTTGGAGTCGGGAAGGCTCGGAGGAGATTTTGGACGACCCACTGTATTTCTCCAGCGTCAACTTTACAGATGACGGGTCCTACATCTGTACGGCAAGGTCGGAGGTCAAGTACTTCCCGGAGTCAACCGCCAAGTTCAGGCTGGATGTCAAAGGTATCAACTTAGAAAGTTGCAAGTGTGAAAACTTGAAAGTTTACCTGCGTTGAAAGTTACAGCTCAACTTTCCTTGTTAAGTTTTATACACAATGAAACACCTTGTATGGCAGTATGCAGAATCTTAATTGACTAAAGAAAGGTCATATACATTGTACAAAGTAGAAAAGTTGTCTATATCATACCTGTAGGATATATTCTTATGCAAAATAAAAAGATGCCTTCGAAAAGAAGTTTTTGAAAAATGACCATAAGAATTGGCGTGCCACCAAGTCTTTTATTTCTGTATTCGAAAAGTGCAGGAAAATGGCCCTGACTGGTTTTTCTGGATTGAGATTCATTTTCCTTTTTCCCTTCTGCTTTAAGATATAAAATTAGACATAGTATGACGTAGTAGTACAACAGACCATCTCTACCCCCCTCCCAGGCCCTCCACAGATTGTGAAACAGAACACCATCTTCTCAGCGAAGGAGAACGGCAGCGTGACCTTGGAGTGTGAGGTGGAGTCAGACCCTCCTGCCACCAGAGTCGCCTGGAAGTGGGAGAGCAACTCCATCGAGAGCGGAACGGTTCGTGCTTCAGTGCTTTTGTCTTCACTTACTGGCATATCAATCAATAGTTTGTGCTTATGAACCTGCTTTCCCCTCTGGTCTCTCAGTCACTGACAAAAGCTAGTGGATACTAGCTGAAACGTCTGACCGTTTCCAAAATCATATCCAGTTGCTTGAGTAACTGCTGTTTGGCATTGTGCTTTCAATTAGTTCTTTGTCGACAGTCAAACCTGCCCTAGAAGACCACTCGGGACAGAGGAGAAGTGGTCCTCTTGGACAGGTGGTCTTATGGGGCAGGTTGCTTAATGCTAGTTCCAATGGAAAAAAAACAAACATTTGGGATCAGGAAAAGGGGATTGTTTGGGCAGGTTTGACTGTACTTTAAAATCTAAGACCTGCACTACTAGAGTTATTTTTAATGACTTTTTTATGACATCTTCACAGCAAAATTTCAAATTGCTTTCTAAAACAATGTACAAGTACTGCCAATTCTTCTGCCAGGCTAACCACAAACACCAGATCATTTTGCCCTCCTCACCACAAAATTAAGGCCTCACAAAATCATCCTGCTGTAATGTATTTTGTATCTAGGTTGGGCGTTACTCAGTGAGACAGAAGGAGACCCCCACCAGTATCCTGAGCACCCTCACCATCAAGTCTGTCCAGGCTTCGGACTTCCGCAGTTACCAGTGTCTTATGTAGAGAAATTGGCCAAATACAGAGCTAAGTAAGACTAAGAGAGGCAAACTGTACTCTCTAGCAGACCAACTCCCCTGACATGTTATCTCTCTCTATTTGGCCAAATTCTACTCTCTTTCCAGCCGCCTCCCGAAGCCTGGTAGAGATTAAGAAATAACGCCATTCATGTGATCTGCCCGTAGGTTGCGTGTTACTCTGTGAAATAGAAGGAGAACTAACCCAGTAATGTGTTCCCTTTGTATAGGTTGGGCGATACTCTGTGAGACAGAAGGAAACCCCCACCAGTATCCTCAGCACCCTTACCATCAAGTCAGTCCAGGCGTCAGACTTCCGCAGTTACCAGTGTCTGGCCGTCAACGTTCACGGGGAGGAGACACAGGTCATCGTGCTGGAGAGGGGTAGAGATACATCATCAATTCATCAATCAATCAATCAATCAATCAATATACCAATACATCCATCAATACATCATCAAAACATAATACATTCATCAATACATCAATACACTGACCAATACATCAATACATTCAATACATCATCAATACATTAATACATTAATACATTCATTAATACATCAATACATTCACCAACACATCAATTCATTCATCAATACATCATCAATACATCAATCAATTGATCATCAATACATCATCAATACATCAATCAATTGATCAATTAATTATATTCATGGCTATGATCATGCATGGCAAAGAGACAAAAAGGTCATCTTAATGGAGAGGAATAGGAATTGATAATCTATAGATATATCAATTATCAATCAATATATTGATTGAAGATATTCATGTAGTTGTATGAAGTCAGTTACACAGCCAGTGACCTTCATACACGCTAGATGTACTGTGGAGTTATGAGAACAAACCATAAAATGCTGAAAAATACTTTCAAACAAATACACTGAAAACAAAACCTCAACACACAGGTAATAAGAAATCTAACAATCATAATTATCAAATGCAATTATTACTGATTGTTAATTGATGTCTGTAATATATTTTTTCCAGCCACGGCCCCCCCACCCCAGCCCATCCCCCTGGTAGCCATCATCCTCCCCGTGATCCTCGTGTTTATCATGGTCATTCTGGGCCTTCTATACTACTTACGCAAGTACTGGCAAAGGGTGAGTGCTGTTTGTTTGTTTGTTTGTTTGTTTGAGCCTTTCTTTATTCATAAATCTGAAGTCTTTTTTTTGTTTGTTTGTTTCGCAAAACCGGTAAACCGCCTTTAGGCTTAACACACCAGTTTTGTACATGTAAGTACAAGCTGCGTAAGACTGGACTGAAAGTTTGAACCACTCACACCAGGAAGGTCCCCTACTCTTTTCGATAAGTGTGGTGGGTTCTTTAACGTGCATGGGGTGTGTGGCTCTCCCAAACACGGGACCTCCATTTAACCTCCTATCCGAGGGACGTCCCTAACCGAAGCTAGGTACTCAATTCCACCTGAGTGAAGTGAGGAAAGACATGTAAAGTGCCTTTCCCTAGGGCACAAGATCATTGACATGAGTAGGATTTGAACCCGGGAACTCTTGGTTCCGAGCCGAAGGTGCTACTGCTACGCCACACGATCTGACTTCTCTCTGTTCCCTCTACAGAAACTGCCCTGGACTCCCAAGTACCTGAAGAACAAGGATATGGAGATGAGGGCCATTGAAGATGTAAGTTCCTGCCACCCTCCTCTCTCTCTAAAATATCATGTTGAAGGCCTTGTGTACTTTTTAGCTAAAGTAAACAAGTGCTTTTCCTTTGAAAAATGTTCCACCACGAGTTCCACCATGCTAGTTTTCTACAACAGGATGAACTCAAGACATTGTTAGTTGTTACAAGATGATTTAGTGTCTTATTTTATTATTGTTGATTTTTTTTAAAACTTTATTGTTGTTCATAAAGTACAAGTACACAAGTTATTATTGTTGATATAAGTTATATGTAGTGTTATCTTTTGTGTTGTATACAGGACTACCTTCCCCCTATAGCTCAAGATTCGGCTTCCCCCATGCCACTTCTACCAGGGGTGAGTACGTGTACTGGATACTTAAATTCTTGTGCTTAAAGAGGGAAACAGATAGACACTAGATTTACTTTCGTGAAGGTAATCTATGCATTTTTGATTGACTTGAAATTTAGGATTTATAAATGGGAGACCACCCTTACATGTTCCTAGCATTGTGAAGTTTCTTTTGTGACAGAGAGTTTGACTGGGATTTCTGCTACATCCACTTTGACTTAGCATGAAATCTGTGTTGTTCCTGGCTGATGCCATAAAGTTTAATATGATTTAAGTTTAAACTATTCATTCATAACTTCAGGATGACCCCACCAACTACTACATGGAGCCAGACCTGATCCGAGATCTGGAGTTTCCACGGGACAAACTCTCGCTGGAGCGTGTTCTCGGGCGCGGGAACTTCGGGCAGGTCATCAAGGCGAAGGCTCAGGGGGTGGGAGGTGCCGATAAACCTATGACTGTCGCTGTCAAAACTACCAAAGGTGGGCTGTTTTATGTGTTGTATTTTGTATTGATTAAACCACCGAGTGAGCGTAAATCATTGTACATTTACCTAGACAAGTATACAAGTATCTGGCAAAAGGAAGTGGAAGGAGAAGGATGGGCCCTGCCTTCCAATACTGTGCCCTAGACACAGTGAACTAACAACCCACTTATAATGGGACTACCTTACTTGTACATGTATCATGCTTAAGGCAGTAGGAGCAGTGGGCTGTTGATCCACTGGGTCTAAGGCCGATAAAATCTTTACCTTCCCTCCTGACTTGTTCTATTGTTTGTTACAGATGGGTCGTCAGCTGATGCGAAAGAAGATCTGCTGAAGGAACTGAAGATGATGAAGCTGATCCCACCTCACCCCAACGTTGTCATGCTTATAGGGTACTGTACAAAAACAGGTAAGACCTGACCAATTCATGTCCTTGGTTCACACATATTTAAGAGTACCAGGGAATACATAAAAATAGTACCAGGCCCTGGTTGTGTATATGAAAGGTACGTACAAGGTACATACTGTTCCTACATATGTACCTTGCTTACGTTTTGGTGTCTATGAGACACCTTCTCAGAGCTTCTGACTGGAGTTCTGCTTCTCGCTGCTATATGTACCCGATGTAGGTGGGTTGTTAAATAATATCAAGAAAATCCCAACATCCTATGTACTACCAACCTGATGAAATTATTTTAGATAAAAATACATACCATTACAAAAACATTTTTTAACTAAGCTAGGTATGTTCGATGGGTCACCAAGGGCATGCAATTGTAGGAAGAAAATGGTACATTGTACATGTACTTTGAGGAATGTCGTACAAAAGTCTAACTTCTCTGTCCCTCCTTACAGAGCCCGTGTATGTGATAGTGGAGTACTGTGCCCTCGGAAACCTGCAGAACTTCCTGAGAAAATGCCGCAGCAAGCGAGACTCGACCTACGCAAACATACAGGTCGACGAGAGGTTACTGACCCCTCGTGACCTCGCCTCCTTTATATGGCAGATAGCCAGGGGAATGGCACATGTAGCATCACTCAAGGTTTGTTTGTTTGTTTGTTTGTTTTTTTTTCAACCGAGGATTGAGATGTTTTTCAAAATCAAAAACTCATTCTTTCCTAAAATTATCGTAAAGTGCAACTCACTGTCACCAAGTACAGTATGGGTATTATGTTTACTGAAGGAAAACATATTGTTTTTGCTCTGTTTCTTCTTCCTCTCCTCCAAACGAATAAGGTCAATGACCTGAACCTGACGTCTGGCACCGTGGTAACTAGTCTTGGGTTACATCATGTTGCAATTTTATAGCAGGAGGGATTTAGACTCCTGTCACCATATTATTATATGAATGCATTTGAGTAAGAATTAACAGAGCAGACCATATGCAAAGGTAAGCATCATGCATTTGCTTTGCAAATGTTACCTTTCTAGTTTCTACGTTCTGAATTCTTGTCATATGTCTATAGTAAACAGGTTGGTGTTTTTTTTTCCAGATTGTCCACAGAGATCTGGCCAGTAGAAACGTGTTGATAGACAAAAACAAAGTCTGTAAAATCTCGGACTTTGGTCTGTCCAGAGACGTGTATGATACAGACAACGAGGAGTATGAACAGAAAACACAGGTAGATTGATTTTTTTATTTCCATTATTGTGCTTTTATATGCTGTAACTATCAAATGAATCATTGTTTCAGATAATGCTACATGTACATGTACATTAAGTTGATTTACTGTACAGTATCAATATGTACTAAGTTACTCTCTCTCTCTCACACACGCACACACACACACACACACACACACACACACACACACACACTCACACACACACACACACACACACACACACACGCAAATACCCCAGTAACTGTAATCTATGTATTACTAAATAATACACAAACTAACCCTGTAAAACCATGATATTGTCCTGTCCAGGGCCGGCTGCCCCTGAGATGGATGGCACCAGAGTCCCTGTTCGACCATGTTTACTCCGTCAAGTCAGATGTCTGGTCCTACGGTATCACCATGTGGGAAGTACTGACATTAGGTAAGTATGCTTTAGAAATGCGTAGTACATAAAAAATGTATATTTACCTAATGTTTCGCCCTTTGGAATAGGTAGCAGTGTGGTACATGATTATACAGTTACTGTACATGTTAGGAAATTTGCCTCAGTGGAATTTTATCCACCGCCATCCCCCCAGCTACATGTCTTCCTTGTACACTGAAAGATATAGGATAAATTCTAGATTGTTAAGCCACCTATATGTATGCCGTAATGTTTTGTCATGTCTTGTCAGCAGGGCAAGCCCTTTGTAATAGCCACTGGCTAGTTGGGCTGCCCTGGCTGTGAGGGTTGAACAGTCAAACTGATCAATAATATGTTTAATAATAGGTTTAATAAGATGTTACCTTGACTCTGCTTTGCAGCGTGTACCCCCTACCCCGGCCTGTCGCCCCCTGCCATGATGGAAAGACTCAGGAACGGTTTCAGGATGAGCAAACCTGTGCACTGTAATGATGAAGTGTGAGTAACAAACTCCTTCTTAACCTTAGCATGAAAGTTCATCTGTGTTGGTATACTAAGCTTCATTATGACAACAAGGGCTAAACGTTCTAGCCAACAGTAAGTAAATTGGGACTTACCCCCAATTTTCGACCGACTCCGTCTGCCTTGTTCACGGAATGGACCCTTCTACTGCAGCTTCCGGGACGTGACGTCAGAAACTCGTGATTGCAGCAAAGGGTTGTACGTGTCAGATAACCGGATTTTTGCGAGTCAGGAGTAAAGGAGGCGGTGTACCTTCAGGCCAACCATCCAACACTGAACAGAGACGGGGGGGTTTTGTCTGTCTTTAATCTTACAAATCTCAAAAACCTACAAAATCATGTGTCCTAACTACTTGCTGTGGAATGACTATTGTGGCATCTGTGTACTCGTGCTTACTCTGCACTTTGTGTGCACACACAGTTATGACATCATGAGAAAGTGCTGGGAAGACGACCCAGAGGACAGACCGACCTTCATCGACCTTGTCAGACTGCTGGAGGACGTCATCACCAAGGCTGAGGTCAGTTCTTCCTTATATGGTCGTACTCTCTTCCTTATATGGTCGTACTCTCTCCCTTATATGGGACATACTTTCTTCCATATATGGTCGTACTTTCTTCCATATATGGTCGTACTGTAACAGCAGATTGAAGTTAACCTAGAAACTGGAAAGTTAGATATTACAAATTATACAGTCACTGTACAGCTCTTAAATTTGAGAATGCTTTGAAATCTTTTTGCATAATGGAAAGCCATATATTCTTGTGGATAGCTAAATGTTACACACAAGGTCTTGTATGTTGTCTGTCCATTTGTATGTGTAACGCTTGTTGTGAGATTCATCCATAACATCATGATGTACACCATTTGTTTTGTGTTGGTTGTTATCAAATCATATTGTATGTGTCATTATTAGCAACAGGGTAATTTGGTTTTGCTTATAAAGTACTTTGTGAATGTTAGTTTGCTTTGTTTTTGTTGTTCGTTTGTTATAAAGCATGTGTAAGTGTTCACAGTGCTTTCACTATTTACATTGTAATTCCTTTTAACGTTAAGTACATGTAATGTTTGTTTTACTGTAATTCCACCATCAATAGTTTTCTAAAACTATATATTTGTCTTCTTTTGTTGTTAAGCGTGTGTGATATTACTAATAAACAGTTTATTTGTTTTGTTGTTATGTATTTGTGATCAACAGTTAATTTTTTTTGTTATTAGTAAGATTTGTTTTTGTTGCTGTGGTTAAGTATGTGTAACTTTTAATGTTGTTGTTGCTGTTAGGCATGTGTAGTAAACAGTTTATTTATTTGTTTGTTTGTTTTGTGGCATCACCATGACTAAACCCGTCGTTCCCGTGTGCCCCCCTCCCCACAGGAGTACATCCACCTGCATGAGATTCCTGCCGTCATGTTCGAAATGTCCATATAAACACCAAACCCACAAACCCACAACTAACAAGTAACGTTCACTGTTTATATGGTGCTTTGTTTTTAGGGTTGGACAAGTCCAATTGCCCACTTGCCCAGGGCAAGTAAAAGTACTGTTCGGACAAGTGCAAGTGCCCCTAGACTTGCCCAATTTGGATGCAAAGTATACATGTAGCTACTACAGTGTTTGGAGCAAGCCACCTTATTTCCATTATAAACTCCAAAATAAGATAATTTGCTTGGTGGTAGTAAAAATGCATAGAAATACATTGTATGTATATTTTGGGCAAGTGAAAAGTTAGTTTGGGCAAGTGGAAATGACCTGGGCAAGTGGATTTTTGAAAACTTGTCCAACCCTGGTTTTGCAATTGTGCACTTGTCAATGAAAAGCTTAAGGGGAGGATTTCAATTACTACAATGTAGTAGACTCCACCAGACTCCTTTGAAGGTTGAATAAATAGTAAAAAATTGGCCTAAACAGGAATGTAATTGTCCAGTGGATTTAGTCGGCCATAGAAGGACCCGTTTCCATGAAGGCAAATTGGACCTTCTATGGCCGACTATCTACACTGTTGTTGAATGTTTTCCAGTCATAACAGCCAGTATCTTATGCAAAAAAAAGTTATTAATAAATTTCTCATTACCAACTGTGAAACTTGTATGTAGACTTAACATTGACAAGTGCATAAAGGAGAGAAGGTGCTTGAAAAGCTTGAGTTGAATGTAATTTTTTGCATTGCAAGCTTCTGAATAGAGATTTGCTGTTAAACATGGCTGCTTGTTGTTTAACTTGCAATATTTTTGCCAAGATTTTATATGGTTCTATGTAAAACTTGACAACATCGCCTGAGCATCAGAGTTCAGCATTTTAAGAGGAAAACCTTAACAAATTGTGTTGTTTTGCTAAACGTTAATTTCCTCTGATTTTTCAGGATTTCATTAAAATAGATGAGATTCCCGCTGCCATGTATGACGAATCCAACTCCAAGAAGTCCAAACAGGAAAAGTGCTAGGGCCACCCTGGACACCCCTATTCAAGAATGGACTCTTCCACTTCTGACAGAAACGTGACAGAAATTAGGGGCGTACCACTCTGTATCAGGGGTGTCTGGAAGCAGACTTTCAATGTTTTATGTAGGAGACACCATGATCACACAAGTGTACCTGCAAATTCACTCCTCTAGGAATTTCATATAGTAATAAAATTGCTCTTACAATTAATTGTATCACCAATAAAGACAAAGTACAATGTACTAGTACATGCAAGTTATGTTAATAATGTGCAACTCAAATTAGTGCAAAAAACATTAATTAACATATTCACATTGATTATGTATCAGCCATTAATATTGTTTAACCTTCTTTCTGCCGTGGTACCCTTTTGGAACTGACTTGTCATAGGTTACAGGGTTAGACAGCAGGGAGAAGGTTAACCATACACTACCAAAAATGCCAATCTTGTTTTTCTTCAGAGAAGAAAACTTTTCTTCCACTGAGAAAAGTATTCTTCACCCAAGAAAAAAATCTTGTCCATGAGACAAGAATTTCAAGAAACTGCATTTTAGCATATTTTTCTTGTGGTAAGATTTCTTTTCTTATGTATCTTGAACTAAACACCCTTAGAATATTATTCTTGCAGTAAGAATTTCTAAGTTTTCTAGAAAACCATTCTGTACACAAGAAAAGATTTCTTGAACTAAGATCTAACTCTTCTTGTAGCAAGAAAAATATTCTCCCCACAAGAAAAGATTTCTTGAACTAAGAGCTAACTGTTCTTGTAGCAAGAAAAGCATTCTGCCCACAAGAAGAGATTTCTTGAACTAAGACCTAACTCTTCTTATGGCAAGAAAACCATTCTGTACACAAGAAAAGATTTCTTGAACTAAGAGCTAACTGTTCTTGTAGCAAGAAAACCATTCTCCCCACAAGAAAAGGTTTCTTGAACTATTATCTAACTCTTCTTGCGGCAAGAAAACCATTCTCCATGCAAGGAAATATTTCTTGAACTAAGATCTAACTGTTCTTGTAGTAAGAAAACCATTCTCCCCACAAGAAAAGACTTCTTTAACTAACATCTAACTGTTCTTGTGGCAAGAAAACCATTCTGTACACAAGAAAAGATTTCTTGAACTATGAGCTAACTGTGCTTGCAGCAAGAAAACCATTCTGCCCACAAGAAGAGATTTCTTGAACTAAGAGCTAACTGTTCTTGTAGCAAGAAAATCATTCTGTACACAAGAAAAGATTTCTTGAAATAAGAGCTGACTCTGTTCTTGTAGCAAGAAAACCATTCTGCCCACAAGAAAAGAAATACAATGTATATAGTGCTACAGTACCTAAATATAAAACAGACAATAATGTATAGCAACTAAATGTTATTTTGAAAAAGCATTATTTTGGACAGTATAGAGATGTTTATTATCACATTGATTTTTGTACAATGTATCTAATTAAAAATATAAAATCAGTCCATCAACATTCTTGGAATGCAAACAGTTTAACAGTAACTTTAAAAATATTATACGATGTATAACTAACAAGCCATTATGATTTCAGAATACAGATCGTATCACATTCTGATCAGAAGCATATTCAGCAAAAACTGCAGTTTTCGCAAATAGAATTGACCAAGTCACACCCTTTGGACACCTGAAAAACAACAGGAAAGACCTGTGTTAGTTTGCATGCGAGCACTGAAGGCAACAAGTGAAAAGAGGATGCTAAAATACTATTTTTATTACTTGGAGTAAACAATTTAAAATTATATCATAAAGCACTGTAATAAACTTTACTATACAATACACCAGAGATATATGATTTGACTTTGAAATCAACCCCAATGGCGCTGTAACAATATTTGGGCTATGAAGTCTAAAAACAATGTCAACAGATCTTATAGGTGGGGAGGGGGGCGCGCACTTACCTTCAATCTGTTTGGCTTCATGCTTTTTCTGTTGCAAAGTTGGTTTCTTCAGCAAGCTGACCACGATCACCATTGCTTCACATGTACACAAGGTCCTTTTTGATTTGATTTTGACTTCAAATCTGACATGAGTCAGGAACTGACAAAAATAAGTAACCAGCGCAGCTCCTACATCTGACTTATGTTCAAAACCCCCTAACTGCATTCTGGGATTTGAATCAACCAATCAGGGGTTTAGAAAAGGTCACATGACAAGAAAAACTAGAAAAAAGTTCTTACATCATCTTGAACATTACCAGGCAAAATAAGAATCATCTTTCTTAAACTTTCTGGTATTTTCTTAAATGTCGCTAAGAAAAACAAGAATGGTCTTTCTTAAACTTTCTATGGAAGAAAATCAAGAATGTTTAAGAATATAATACTAGCCATATCTTCAGCCTAATCAAAGATCAATTTTATATGAGACTTTCTTGTTTTTTTCTTATCAGTATTTGTCAAGAAAGATATGAACTTAATTCTTGTATTTTCTTAAATGTTGCCAAGAAAAACAAGAATGATCTTTCTTAAGCTTTCTAGTCAAGA